CAATTTTGAAGGTACGCTCCAAACTCGGAGGACCAAGGCGGTTCAGATGTTTCCGATGCAATGGCAGACATGATTCGAAAGATCCATCGTGTCCAGCCAAATCACTCGAATGCAGAAGTTGTGGTCAAGTGGGACACTTTTCCCGCTGCTGTTTTCTAAAAAGGAAGAAGCCCAACGGACAACCGTCCCAGTACAATCGTTTCGGAGCTTCCCGTAAACAAAAGCGATTCGTACGAGAAGTATCTGTAGATGGAACCGAGCGCAACTCAGATGTAGTTGATCTTTTCCATCTAGGAGCAGGAAAGAAGCTGATTCCAGTATCTGTTGGAGGAGTTTGTTTGAAGTTCGTGATTGACACAGGAGCAGACGAAGACGTTTTAAGCGAAGCGGATTGGGCTACGTTGAAACGTGTTGGGTTTGAAGCATACTCTATCAGGAGAGGAAGCAGCAAAGTATTCAATGCTTATGGGATAAATACACCGTTGAAAGTGCTTGGTGAAGTCGACACAGAAGCTATGATCGACGGTCGGAGTACCGACACTACGTTCTACGTGATCCAGAATGGGAAATGCTCGCTTCTCTCAGGTGACACAGCAGTCAAACTTGGATTGGTGAAATTTTTGCAAGCAGTGAATGATGAATCGTTCCCACATATGGATGGTAAGCAATAATTTATACAGGTAAATTTAAATAAATCTATTCTAAACTTCACATGTGTACAGGTATTGTTGCTAATATCAAAATCGATAAAACTGTAACTCCAGTCCGCCAAAGCCTTCGTCGCATACCATTTCCTCTTGAAGAATTGACCTTGAAAAAACTTCGGGAGCTAGAGAAGCAGAACATCATTGAACGTGTCAATGAAGCTTCTGAATGGGTCTCTCCAATGTTAGTAAAGCGTAAAAGCTTCAATGAGGTCAGACTTATTGTAGATCTCTTAACAAAGCAATAGTTAGAGAAGTCCATCCCCTTCCAACACTCGAGCAAATAACGAAGAAAATCTGAGGAAATCAAATTTTTACTAAACTTGACATTCGACAAGCTTTCCATCAAGTTCTTCTTCGAGAAGATTGTCGATACATCACCACCTTCATTTCCCCCTTGGTTTATTCCGTTATAAAAGGCTCATGTTTGGTGTTGGCTGTCCCAGTGGACAGCACGCGCCCTTTTTAAATTCACAGCCCTGTCCCCACCGTGCCGGCGGCACTGATGCAAGGTGACAGCGGAGCTGTCCGTCAACGATCGTACATAGCGTATGTAGGAAGAAGAAAAAAAAAAACAATAAAATCCAAGTAGCTGCACACGCGATTATAACCGTTCTTAAAGTTAGTGATTAAATCTATCCTTAATTCTATACCTAAATCTAAACTATCTACTATTGAATTCAGGTAATTTAAATTGAATAATTATTTACAAAAGAACTAAATGATATATCCTAAATAGTGCTAAAATCTATTATCAACCATATCTACGAGCTACACCTAACCTACATTCCTAAAACTAAAGCGAACTCGGTAAGAACAAGTGAATTATGTCAAGCTTCGAAATCCTAAAGGAACTTATTACAGCAAATTCCATCTCTACCTCCTATGACCCATCCGGAACTACACTAGGGGAATTAAACGTAAGTCACACAGAACCTATTATAAACCACTACTACATACACATTCTTATTTACGCTACCAATTATGTTATACACTATGCTAACAATCTTGTGCTTCTATATATACATCCAACCAAACAGGATTTTAAAAATCTCCCAATAAAGAGCCGTGTAACACATATTGCTCTGGAGGTTATTAAACCGGAAGAATCTCCCCTGCAGTCAGTCGGAACTAATTTCGACAAGTTTTTAAAATCGTTGACGTGAACGATGTCGGGTCGGAAAAACGGAAAAGATGGTCAAAGCGGTTCCAAAGGTTCTAAAGGTGCGCGGTCGAAGCAATCGAAAGTGATCGATTTGAGTGGTGAGAATAGTTTAGTGGTGGTGGTCACGGAAGGAGACAAGCAAGTTCCGGATCAAAGCTGTACGTTCTGTCAGAAGCTAGACGACAACGACATGGTTCAATGCGACAGGTGCGATAGATGGATCCATTTCGCGTGTGTTGGGGTCACCCAAGAAGTCGAGAATGTCAGCTGGTGTTGCCCCAAATGTGTTGCTGCAACCGTGGCTCAGCCGTCCTCGTCATCTGCCGTAAATCCCCCACAATCCACTTCAGGAAATCGCGTAGAGCATTTGAAGAAACAGTTCAACTCTCTCGGAATTAGTAAGCCTTGCAATACGCTGTCGGAGCCGATAGGAGAACGACCGGCTGATGATCGTGGAGTCATGAACTATAGTAAAAAGGCATTCTCGTTGAAATCGACGTCATCACGAAGATCTGTTCTGGCACTACAGCTTCAGCGGCTAGAGGAAGAACGAGCATTTGAGCAACAACAGGCAGAAAAGCATCGGGCCTACCTTGACAAGAAGTACGGCTTATTGGAGCAGTTGCAAAGTGAGGCCGAATCCGAGTGCAGTGAATCACAGGATCGAGTCGAACAATGGGTTCAAGAAGCAAGCCATATTCGCTCGGACGATGAATTGCATCCCCCAATGGCTGAAATCTTTGATCCACAGAGGCATTCTACAAAGAACTTCTCAGGACAAGCTCAAGCTGGTTCATATATACCTGCAATCCAGTCACGCTCAAACAAGTTGCGGAATGAGAAGATCAGAGAGCACTGTGATCATCCTGTTCGATCTTTAACGAGAGGTAATGATCTAGCAGATTCTCATGTGCAACGTAGTCAACAACAACGAACCGACAGAAGGACTGATTGCCAGTCAGGACGCCCAGAAGAAGACCTCGAACCGTTTTCATTCCGTTCTCTTGCGAGAGGGACTGGGCTTGTTGAATCCGGCGAGCAACACAGTCAACAGCAACGAAGGACAAGAGACGCAAATCTTCAGTCAGGACGCCAAGAAGAGGACTTGGAACCGTTTTCATTTTCCAGACAGCAGCTACACGCAAACCAAAAATCTATTACAATAAATTTTAGTTCCGTTTCCTATCATCCTCTGTTCATGAACATCGCAACGAATGTTAGGAATTGACCATGCAAGCGATGTAATGGTTTTTTGTCTTTTTTATTTCGTGTTAGCGTGGATATTTCGACTATACCAGTAAGATTGTAGAACGACGCACGTTGTAGAACATTGTAGAACAACGCACACACTTGCCTCGAATGCCTCTATTACAATGAATGTTAGTTCCGTAATGGTTTTTTGTCTTTTTCATTTCGTGTTCTATCTACGCTTTCGACTATACCAGTAAGCTTGTAGAACGACGCACATTGTAGAACATTGTACAACGACGCACACTCTTATCTCGAATCTCTCCAGCAGAAAAAGCATACGAAGTCGAGCATGCGTGCTTCATGTTTGCTTTTAGGCTATCCATATTCAGTAGCATAGAGAGAGCAGTGGAGAAAGCACAGGTCTGATAGTTGCAACGTCCGAGGTTCGAGTCCAGTCAGCAACCTTTTTTCTATTTTTTTCGACATAATTAATTTCACACACTAATACACTCCACATTTTTCGGTCTCCAATTTTCTTACATCGGACCGCAGCTAGGTATATCGCATCCTCGGTTCATGCGGTCTCCACTTACATCCTCTGATGATGAATCTCACATAATTGTAAGCGAATCTTACATCCACCGGTTGGGTGTAGCAGCTCGCCAAGGCATATCCAAAGAATTGCCTAAGTTCTCCGGCAAGTTCGAGGAGTGGCCGGTATTTATGTCCATGTTCGCCAGTACTACAAGTATGTGCGGCTTCACGAACGAAGAAAACCTTATCCGGCTCCAAAGATCCTTAGAGGGAAAGGCATACGATACGGCGCGCAGTCTACTGATGCATCCATCGAAAGTTCCGGCGATCATCGATGCCGGCGATTAAGATGCGATTTGGACAACCTGAAGCCGTCGTTCACTCATTGATCCTGAAGGTGAATGCACTTCCGGCGGTACGAGAAGACCGACTAGAAACGTTGGTAGAATTCGCAGTAAACGTGCAGAATTTCTGCGCTACCGTGGATGCTCGAAGATTACATGTACAACGTCTCTCTCCTCCACCAACTGGTGAACAAGCTGCCGTCATCGCTCAAACTAGACTGGGCACGTCATCGACAAACCCTGCCGCGAGCCAACCTGGTAACCTTTGGAAACTGGCTATATTCACTGGCGGAGGCAGCCAGCACCGTCGTGATCCCAGTCGATTCAAACGATTCGAAGTCATTACGTAACGAAGGGCGAGGAAACAAGAAGTCAAACGTATTTTTGAACGCTCACTCCGAAACAGTTCCCGAAGCTATCAGCCAATCGAATCCCAAACCCAATGCGACTTCGAAACTTAACAGCAGCACGCCAGCCTTGAAAAGGTTGGCTCCCGTTACAGAATCCTGTTTAGTCTGCAAGGGTGGATGTAAAGTTGCGTCTAAATGCAAGCAGTTTCTCGAACTATCCAGGGAGTCTAGATGGGCCATCGTGAGGGAGTTTGGACTATGCCGAAAGTGTTTAAACCGGCACAAAGGAGAATGCAAGGCTAAACCGTGTGGACGAAACGGATGCACATATAAACACCACGAGCTGCTCCACAATGACAAGAAAGCTTCCAATCAAATCGCTCCTGCGCCATCTACATCCACAGCTCACGATGAAAGAGCAACATCATCTGTAGTGACCGCTCCAACGCACGACTGCAACACTCACCAGTCAAAATCAAGTGCAGTGTTATTCCGATATCTTCCCGTGGTACTGCGTGGACCTCAAGGCTCCATTCGCACCTACGCGTTCCTTGATGAGGGGTCCCACCTAAGCCTGATAGACCAGGAATTGGCGGACCAACTGAATCTAAAGGGTACCACAATACCGCTATGCCTCCGCTGGACAGGCGGAACGCAGCGCCGTGAAAAAGACTCACAATCAGTCACTTTCAACATCTCCGGAACAGGCAGAATGGCTCAGAGCTTCCAGCTTACCGGAGTAAGAACCGTGGAAGAACTGCTACTACGACATCAGACGCTAAACGCAGATGACTTGAGACAACGATATTCCTATCTCCAAGGCCTTCCCATCGACTCTTACTACGGTGCACGGCCAAGAATCCTCATCGGTATGAAACACGTTCAAGTCAGCTTGGTGTTAAAAAGTAGAGAAGGAAACGTCGGGGATCCAGTTGCGGTCAAAACACGATTGGGTTGGACGGTTTGCGGTGGAAGAAATGTAGAAAGCGACAACATAGGCAATCTCGTTCACTACACCTTCCACGTTTGCTCATGTGAGCGAACGAAAGACGATGAGCTGCATCAGGCTGTGAAGAATCATTTCTCCCTAGAGAACCTCGGCATTACGAAATCGGAGAAGCTTCTTCTTTCGACCGAAGACCAACGAGCACAGGATCTTCTGAGGCAGCTAACGTCTTACGATGGTGAGCGGTATACAACAGGGCTTCTATGGCGTCACAACAATATTCGCCTCCCAGACAACTACGCTATGGCCCTTCGAAGGCATCAATCCTTGCAACACCGGCTCACCAGAGACCCAGAACTGGCCGAAAAACTGAATCGAATGATGGAGGATTACGTTTCGAAAGGTTATGTCAGGCAGCTCTCAGAGAGTGAACTCAGTATGCGGTACCCCAGAGTGTGGTATCTTCCGGTATTTCCGGTGATGAACCCGAATAAGCCAGGAAAGGTGAGACTTGTCTGGGACTGCGCAGCATGCTCCTTCGGTATTTCGCTGAATTCCGCCCTACTTAAGGGCCCTGATCAACTCTGCTCACTACTGTTCATCCTGTTGCAGTTTCGAGAGAATCCAGTGGGTCTTACCGGGGACTTACGTGAAATGTTTCACCAAGTGGGAATCCGAGTCGAGGATCAACAGTGCCAGCGGTTTCTATGGTGGAACGAAAAGGGAGAAATCGTTGTTTACGTGATGCAGGTCATGACCTTCGGGGCCTGCTGCTCACCCAGCTGCGCGCAATATGTCAAAAACCTGAATGCGGAGCGGCATGCAGGTGAGTACCCAAGAGCAGCCGAAATTATCCAGAAACGGCACTACGTGGATGATATGCTCGTTAGCCTGGAAACCGAGGAGGAGGCAATACGAATCGCAAGGGAAGTGAAGCACGTACACCAACAAGGCGGTTTTGAGATCCGTAATTGGATTAGTAATTCGCCGGCAGTCTTAAGAGCCCTCAGGGAAGAAAGAACGGACGAAAAAGATTTGGACCTTACGCCAGAAATCAGCACGGAGAAGGTTCTGGGCATGTGGTGGTGCACCGCATCTGACACCTTCACCTACAAGGTCGGGTGGAACCGCTACGATCGCGCCCTTCTGCTGGGTCAAATTCGCCCAACTAAACGAGTTGTTCTACGGGTGCTAATGTCGATGTTCGACCCTCTCGGGCTGATCAGTCATTTCCTTATGTTCCTGAAGGTCCTCTTACAAGAAGTACGGCGCTCAGGGGTGCAGTGGGATGAAGAAATAACTGACGATGCGTTTACGAAGTGGCAACAGTGGTTGAAGGTATTGCCTCAGGTCGAGCAAGTCAGAGTTTCCCGTTGCAACCGATCGCTATCCTACGACTCAGCTGAGGAAGTAGAGCTCCACGTATTTGTTGATGCTAGCGAAAACGGTATCGCTGCTGTCGCATTTTTGCGATTCATCAAAAACAGCTCCGTCGAATGCTCAATAGTCGCCGCGAAGACCAGGGTAGCACCACTAAAATTTGTATCGATTCCACGTTTAGAATTACAGGCTGCAGTCGTTGGCGCCAGGCTGTCGAGGACGATAACGGATGCCCTGTCCATCGACGTAGCCAGGAAGTACTACTGGACAGACTCTCGGGACGTACTGTGTTGGCTAAACTCAGACCATCGACGGTACACACAATACGTAGCGTTCCGTGTAAGTGAGATTTTGGATCTTACCGAGGCAAACGAGTGGCGCTGGGTGCCATCTAAGATGAACGTTGCAGATGACGGTACCAAATGGAGCTCCAAACCCGATCTTACACCCGAAAGCAGATGGTTTGTAGGCCCAGACTTCCTACAGCGGCTGGAAGCGGATTGGCCTCCACAGCTAACGAAGAGCAGAGCAACAGAAGAAGAACTTCGTCCTAACCTGATGGCGTGTCACACTTCATGTGAACCTACAATAGATACCAAAAACTTCTCTAGCTGGAAGCGTCTACTTAACGTTGCTGTCCTCGTCCTCCGCTTTCCTGTCAACTGCCGCAAAAAACTCTGCAACGAAACAACTGTCACTGGACTACCAACTACAGAAGAACTGATATCAGCTGAAGCCTTTCTTCTACGATCTGCTCAACGCGAGGGTTATCCGGAAGAGTCCGCATATCTAAATAAAACACAGAAAAACTGCGTCAGATCGAGCACAGTGCCGAAGCAGAGTAGCCTATTCCAGCTAATGCCTTGGTTAGATAGCAGAGGTATCATGCGGATGCGAACAAGAATTGGAGCCTGTCACTACGCAACAGAAGACGCAAAGAAACCAATAATTCTTCCACGTGATCACCCCACTACCAACCTACTGATTGCACACTACCATCAACGATTCCATCACCAAAATCATGAGTCAGTAATCAATGAAGTTCGGCAAAGGTTCAACATTCCGCGCATCCGTGCTGCATACGCCAAAGTTAGGAAGAACTGCCAACGATGCAAAAACGATCACGCTTCACCGAAACCGCCGATCATGGCTGATCTTCCACCAGCGCGTCTAGCCGTGTTCTCACCACCTTTCACGCATACGGGCCTTGACTTTTTTGGACCGATTGAGGTCTCCGTCGGAAGGCGCATCGAAAAACGTTGGGGAATGCTCGCTACGTGCCTAACTATTCGTGCAATCCATATTGAGGTGGTACACTCACTGAGCAGTGATTCCTGCATAATGGCGATTCGCAATTTCATCGCCCGCCGAGGTACGCCCAGAAGGATCTACTCCGATAGAGGCACGAACTTCATAGGGGCGTCACGTCAACTGGAAGAGGCCGCCACAGTGGTGAACGTGGACGAAGTGATGAAGGAGTTCGTTACTTCCGAAACAACGTGGTCATTCAACCCACCGCTCGCTCCACACATGGGTGGCAGTTGGGAGCGGTTGATAGGTAGTGTGAAGCGGAACCCCCCACGAAATCCAACCGATGAAGTTCTACGGAATCTGTTGGTTGAGGTCAAAAACATAATCAACTCCAGACCACTAACTCACGTCCCAGTTGATGACGACAGTGCCCCCGCTCTAACACCGAACCATTTCCTTCTTGGCTCTTCAAATGGAATCAAACCGTTTTCCACCATCGACGATAGCAACGCTGCCCTCCGGCAGAATATCTTAGCGTCGCAAGTACTGGCCAATCAGTTCTGGCGGCGTTGGTTAAGCGATTAAATGCCAGAAATCACCAAGCGATCCAAATGGTTCAACCGAACCGACCCAATAACCGTTGGCGACGTCGTTGTGGTTGCCGACCCTAAGCTACCTCGGAACTGCTGGTCCAAGGGAAAGGTCATCGAAACTCATCCAGGGAAGGACGGTGAAGTCCGCTCTGCCACCGTAAGGACCGCCACCGGCGTCTACGTTCGAGCGGCCACGAAATTGGCAGTTCTAGACGTTGGGCGCGATGGAGCTAAGCCAGCCTGAACGCTGGCGTACCTGGGGGAGTGTTGGCTGTCCCAGTGGACAGCACGCGCCCTTTTTAAATGCACAGCCCTGCCCCCACCGTGCCGGCGGCACTGATGCAAGGTGACAGCGGAGCTGTCCGTCAACGATCGTACATAGCGTATGTAGGAAGAAGAAAAAAAAAACAATAAAATCCAAGTAGCTGCACACGCGATTATAACCGTTCTTAAAGTTAGTGATTAAATCTATCCTTAATTCTATACCTAAATCTAAACTATCTACTATTGAATTCAGGTAATTTAAATTGAATAATTATTTACAAAAGAACTAAATGATATATCCTAAATAGTGCTAAAATCTATTATCAACCATATCTACGAGCTACACCTAACCTACATTCCTAAAACTAAAGCGAACTCGGTAAGAACAAGTGAATTATGTCAAGCTTCGAAATCCTAAAGGAACTTATTACAGCAAATTCCATCTCTACCTCCTATGACCCATCCGGAACTACACTAGGGGAATTAAACGTAAGTCACACAGAACCTATTATAAACCACTACTACATACACATTCTTATTTACGCTACCAATTATGTTATACACTATGCTAACAATCTTGTGCTTCTATATATACATCCAACCAAACAGGATTTTAAAAATCTCCCAATAAAGAGCCGTGTAACACATATTGCTCTGGAGGTTATTAAACCGGAAGAATCTCCCCTGCAGTCAGTCGGAACTAATTTCGACATTTGGACTTTCTGCTGCTCCTGAGTTGTTTCAAAAAGTTATGGAGACGATTTTTGCTGATCTTCCATGGCTTATTATTTTCATCGATGACATTCTGATCCCCGCTAGAAACGAATCTGAGCTTCGTGAAAGAACTTTGATGGTGTATAACAGATTGAAGCAGTACAAGATACTACTGAATGCTGACAAAGTTATCACAGGCGCTAGGGAAATAGACTTCTTGGGTTATCACATTTCTACACAAGGAATTTCAATTTCTCAAGAAAAACTGGAAGCTATCGGAAAATTACAAGTCCCCACGTCCGCAGAAGCAGTTCGAAGTCTGCTTGGTTTGGTTAATTTCGTTCATCGACATGTTCCAAATATGGCAACCATTACACACCCCCTAAATCAGCTCACAAGGAAAGGCATAAACTTCGAATGGAAACCAGTACACCAACAAGCATTTGAGCAAATTAAGATGATTCTACTTAACAAAAATACCCTTGGATTTTATAATGTTGACGATGAAACTTATGTTATTGCCGATGGGAGTCCTGTTGGGGGAAAGATAATCGCAATCGTGTGATCTGTTATGCGTCTAAAACTCTCACTCCGACAGAACAGAAGTAGGTATGCGCAGACTGAGCGAGAAGCTTTAGCATTAGTATGGGCTTGTGAAAAGTTTCACTATTATCTTTACGGGAAGTTTTTCCATCTGGTTACGGACCATAAGCCGTTAGTCGTGATTTTTGGAGATCGTCTGAAGCCGTCACCAAGGATTGAACGATGGAAGTTGCGCCTGATGTCCTACGATTTCAAAGTAATGTACCGTCCAGGAAAGAATAACATCGCTAACCCGCTGTCACGACTCTGCCAATCTGTACCAGATAATGGACCTAGCTTTGATGAAGAATCAGAAAGAATCGTACGAATGATAGCTAGTGATGCTTGCCCGTTGGCAATAACCCTTCAGGAAATTGTAACTGCCACAAACTCAGATGAAGAACTGCAAGAACTGATTAAATGGTTACCGTACCCTTCTCGACGTTGGCCTAGAACATTAATGCGTTATGCAAAGATGTTGGGATGCTTCACCAGTGATGGACATTTATTGATGAAAGATCAAAGAATTGTAATTCCTCGAATCCTACAAACCCAAATTTTGAAGCTTGCACACGAACCTCACCTTGGAATTGCAGCAATGAAACGTCGACTACGATCTAAAGTATGGTGGACTAGGATGGACTCTATGGTAGAGAAATTCGTCCAATCTTGCACAGGATGTACGCTTGTATCAGAACCTGATACACTTCCTATAACAAGAACCGAGATGCCTAACGGACCGTGGAAGAAAATAGCGGTGGATTTCATGGAAATTCCTGGCGGTTACCATTTGCTTGTAGCGACAGACTACTACTTCCGGTACGTTGAAGTTGCTATACTTACTTCAATGACAGCAAAAGTAACAGTCACTAAAATGAGGGAAATTTTTGCAAGGTTCGGCCATCCTATTGAAGTTGTTTGCGATAATGGTCAGCCATTTTCTTCAGCAGAATTCTTGAATTTTTGTCAGACAAATGCAATCTCAATCAAGCATACAGTTCCTTATGCAGCTTTTCAAAATGGATTGGTCGAGAGGCAAAACAGAACTTTATTGAAGACCTTGAAAATAAGCTGTACTATGGGACGTAATTGGCGGTATGATCTACAAGATTTTCTTCACTCTTACCGAGCAACACCTCACAGCATAACAAAGTTTTCACCGTCGGAATTGATGTTTGGGTGGAACATTCGGGATAAAATACCAGGAAACTCAAGACCAGTCAATGAAACTGAAGCAAGAGAAAACGATAGGAAGGCGAAAGAAAAAGGAAGAATGTATGCGGATTCAAAAAGGAGAGCTAAGCAATGCAATATCGATGTTGGAGATTATGTGATTGTGAAAAATTTTGTCAAGAAAAATAAGCTAACAACCACTTTCAACCCCGAACCTCATCTTGTGATACAACGCGACGGATCACGGCTCCACTTGAAGAACATTAAAAGCAGTGTGATCTCCAATCGACACGTGAACCACACCAAACGAATCCTAAATGCGAATCCCATGATGAAACAGGAGAATGACGCAGATAATCATAAAACCTCTGAGGGCACACAAGAAGAAGATGACATGGGACCAGCCATTTCAACTGCTGCTGAACGTACTACAAATCCAACGGAACAACCCTCTACCAGCCAAACTACTACGGAACCTCAGATGGTCTCACGATGCGATGGTCGAAAACGCCCTTTTGAGACTAGCCGAGCTACCAGCAAGCGCTCGAAACATGTACCTAAATACTTAGCAGATTACAAACTTTGAATATATTAAATTTTTAAAATATTAAACGTAAGGAGGGAATGTAGGATCTAAGCAACCATTGGTTTTGTAACAACCTTAAAGCATGAGAATAAATATTCATTATCAGTTGTACCTCGGACCGAACCAGACGTTTCTACATCCACTCTACTCGATCCATGGTCACACTTCGCCAGCCTCGTAGTCTGCGTAGGGTCCGCAGGTCACCTTATACTTGGTCGATCCACCTTGCCCACTGCGCGCCTCTTCTTCTTGTTCCTGTTGCATTCTGCGGCATTCTTACGACGTTCCCAGCCCACCATAGTCGCCCAATTTTTGCAATGTGGACAGCAGCTGGTGCAATTCGTGTTTCATTCGCGTCCTCCACGTTCCGTGATCCATCTGCACTCCATCGTAGGTGGTACGCAACACCTTTCGTTCGAATACACCAAGAGCGCGTTGGTCCTCCACAAGCATAGTACAGGTCTCGTATTCGTAGAGGACCACCGGTCAAATCAGCGTCTTGTAGATAGTCAACTTCGTGCAGCGGTGAATTTTATTCGACCGGAGCGTCCTCCGGAGTCCAAAGTAGGCACGATTCACTGCCATAATGCGTCTTTGAATTTCTCTGCTGGTATCATTTTTGGCGGTCACCAGTGAGCTCAAATACACGAACTCATCGACCACCTCGATTTCGTCACCTTCAATCTGAACTCGGGGTGGGAGGCTAACATTGTCTTCCCTAGAACCTCTTCCTTTCATTTATTTTGTCTTTGATGCGTTGATGGCAAGTCCAATCCGTCTAGCTTCAGTCTTATGTACGTTTCCGCCATGGTCTCAAAATTCCCTACCATGATGTCGATGTCATTGGCGAAGCCAAGGAGCTGGATGGACTTCCTAAATATCGTGCCACTCGTGTCTATCCCAGCGCTTCTGATCACACCTTCTAACGCGATGTTGAATAGGAGACACGAATGTCCATCACCATGCCATAACCCCCTTCGAGATTCAAAGGGACTCGAGAGGGTCCCCGATACTCGAACAACGCACATCACTCGATCCATCGTCGCCTTGACCAATCGCGTCAGTTTATCCGGAAATCTGTACTCGTGTATTATTTGCCATAGCTGATCTCGATCGATTGTGTCGTATGCGGATTTGAAATCGATGAACAAATGATGTGTGGGCACGTTGTATTCGCGGTATTTCTGCAGAACCTGCCGAATCGCGAAAATGTGGTCCGTCGTAGCGTAGCACCCATGAATTCCGCCTGGTATTGCCCCACGAACTCTCTTGCAAATGGTGACAGGCAGCAGCATAAAATTTGGGAGAGTACCTTGTAGGCGGCGCTCAGCAGTGTGATCGCGCGGTAGTTGCAGTAATCCAACTTGTCGCCCTTTTTGTAGATTGGGCATACGACACCTTCGATCCACTCTTCCAGTAATATCTCCTCCTCCTAAATCTTGGCAATTTTAATAGCTCACTTGGTAGTTGATCTACACCAGTTGCTTTGTTGTTCTTCAGTCGACCGATCTCCTCCTCAACTTGTTGAAGATCAGTTGCCGATAGCCTGTCGTCTTCTGCGCGTGCTCCAAGGTCTGTTGCCGTGCCACCTTCGTTTCCTGCAGTATCACCGTTGAGGTGCTCGTCATAGTACTGCTTCCACGTCTCAATCACCTCACACTCGTTCGTTTGAA